TCCTGACCTCAGGTGATCCACCTGCCTTTACCTCCCAAAGTGCTGGGATTATAAGGCGTGAGCCATTGCACCTAGCCAGATCTGAACTTTTAAAGAGCTCCGAAACTGTATGTGAAGGTTTTAGGAGAATTCACCTATGAAATGTGTTCCTGGTAATTTCTCTGCATTTTTAAAACCAGTTATTTTAGATTTTCTATCTATCCTGGGGCCTATTTTAATTAAACTTTAACCAAATGTATTTGCACTGAAATGACGCAATTACTTTCTTATGATTCTTAACCTCTCTGTACCTATCGTTGCCCTCTTTTTTCTTCTTTTGACATTGCCGCTTTCTCCCTTTTTTTCTTGTTAGATCAGTTTATTAGTCAGGTTATTGCTTACTGTAAGGTCTGATCTAACAAGAAAAAAAGGGAGAGCTCAGCTTTCAGTCTGTTCTATGAATGTCAGCTGAGCTTTCAATCTGTTCTATGAATGTCATTTCGGGATCCACACATAAAGCAGCAACTACCTCGGAAGAGTTCTCATGGCAGGAGTTTAACAGGGCAAGAAAAATTACACAAGAACACTGAAGGCCTCTGGTCAGACATGTCATATTATGACCATTCACCTTTCACATGACCAGGGCCAACATTAGTGTAACAGGAAAGAATACTCTACCCATTGCCAACTATAGCAAGGGCATGAAGGGAGGAAGAGTTATGAAAAAATAATATAACCTACCAAAGTTAAACTAATGGTTTCTCTATTTCATTATTCTCAGGTTCAAAGTACCAGTGCTAGGCTTATTTAGGAGTTCTACCACTTTTCTATGTTCTATTTCATTATTCTCTGCTTTCCATGCAATAAATTCTTTCCTTACTCTTTTCCCCTAACTTCTTCACTTGGCCACTTACGTTTGATTAAAAATTTCTTTAAAAAATTTTTTTTTCTTAATAAGTACTGCTTTAGCTGTTTTTCACATACTCTGATACACAGCATTTTCATGACTTAAATTATTAGTGAGGCCAGGCGTGGTGGCTCATGCCTGTAATCCCAGCACTTTGGGAGGCCAAGGCGGGTGGATCACTTGCCGTCAGAAGTTCGAGATCAGCTTGGCCAACGTGGCAAAACCCCATCTCCAGTAAAAATACAAAATTAGCCAGCCTTGGCAGCATGCACCTGTAATCCTAGCTACTTGGGAGGCTGAGGCAGGAGAACAGCTTGAACCTTAGAGGTGGAGGTTGCAGTGAACCGAGATCGTGCCACCACACTCCAGCCTGGGGCACAGAATAAGACTATGTCTCAAAAAAATATATATATATTATTGAGTGCTAGCGTTTACTTTGTAACTAATGTACAAACCTTAATGTTCAATTTCCTTAATCTCTGACCATATCCACTAATAAAATTAGTGTACTTCTTCTTCCTACTCTCTCCTCCTTCCTCACCCAGCCAACTTTATCTTTTACTGTTCATTTTGTACTGTTATTTATTTATATCTTTATTACTTAATTTTTCAGGGTTTTTTTTTTTTTTTTTTGAGACAGAGTCTTGCTGTTGTCACCTGGGCTGGAGTACAATGGCTTGATCTCAGCTTACTGCAACCTCCACCTCCTGGGTTCCAGCAATTCTCCTGCCTTGGCCTCCCAAGTAGCTGGGATTACAGATACCCACCACCAAGCCCAGCTATTTATTTTTATATTTTTAGTAGAGATGGGATTTCACCATGTTGGCCAGGCTGGTCTCAAACTCCAGACTTCAGGTGATCCACCCTCCTCAGCCTCCCAAAGTGCTGAGATTACAGGCGTAAGCCACTGCACTCGGCCAATTTTTCAGGTTTTATGTGACATCTTTTGATACTCTACCTCCCGGGTATCAATACGAAGAAAACAATATTCTCACATGAACTCTTCTTTCTTCCACCAACTTTTGCCAGTTATGTTATTTATATTAACAAGCATTTTTGAGACGAGGTCTTGCTCTGTTGCATATGCTAAAGTTCAGGGGACTCTCCATATGGGCCAGCCACAGTTAACATTTACATTCTATTGTACCACCATAATTCTCTTAGATGCTTTCATTTTAATGTTATAAACAAAAGAGCTAATATCTACTGCCAATCCTTTTGCTACAGCTTTTCCAGTCATCGTGGGTGGAAGAAATCTGTTAGGTTTCTTCAGAAGTCATGAGCACCATATGCCCCAGTACTTTTATGTTCAAAATGTTTGCTGCCCTTATATTTGAACTATAAAGTTTGGGGCTGGGCACAGAGGCTCACATCTATAATCCCAGCACATTGAGAGACTGAGGTGGCAGAATTGCTTGAGGCCAGGAGTTCAAGACCACCCTGGGCAACACAGCAAGACCCCATCTCTGCAAAAAAATTAAAAAATTAGCCAGGTGTGGTGATGCACGCCTGTAGTCCCAGCTACTCAGGAGGCTGAGGTGCAAGGATCACTTGAGCTCAGGAGTTCAAGGCTGTAGTGAGCTATGATCACCACTGTGCTCCAGCTTGGGCAACAGAGTAAGACCCTGTCTCTAAAAATAAAAATAAATAAAATTTGGGTGTTATATTTTTGTTCTTGAGGATTTTATTATAGGTGTGTTGCTTCATTTTTTTTCTGCCATGGAGAAACTCAAGAATACCCTGAATTCTTCTACTTTACCTGTACCTAGATGCCAAAGCATTTTGTTTTTTGGGGATAGCTGGAGCTTGGGGGGAAGTCTAGTAACTTTATTAGAGTATGTCTCAGCAGTATTTTCTGGGGCATGGCATGCCCTTTTCTTTTCTTTTTTGAGATGGAGTCTTGCTCTGTTGCCCAGGCTGGAGTGTAGGGGCATGATCTTGGCTCATCACAACCTGCACCTCCTGGGTTCACGCGATTCTCCTGCCTCAGCCTCCTGAGTAGTTAAGATTACAGGTGCATGCCACTGCGCCTGGCTAATTTTTGTATTTTAGTATAAACAGGGTTTCATCATGTTGGCCAGACTGGTCTTAAACTCCTGAACTCAGATGATCTGCCCGTTTCAGACTCCCAAAGTGCTAGGATCACAGGCATCAGCCACTGTGACTGGTCTGCCCTTTTCAATATTTAGATTCAAAACCTTCTGTTCTTTCGAGGAAATATAACTTTTGAAACTGTATCTTTTCCTTTCCTTATTCTTTTACTTTATTTTTTTCAGTATGCCCACTCAAAGACCCTAAAACCAATGTCTCCACAGAAGCAAGAAACATACTTAATGCCCAGATTTTGTTTGTTAAATATTGTTCCTTGATAATTGTACTGAAGCTCCTTGGAGAAATGGCTAATTCTAAGTCATTCCATGACTATGCATATCCATCCATGGCCACAGACAGACACTACTGACCTGCTTAACCAGAATACAGGGTCCTAAAGCTTTAGTTCTGTTTGTTGCTCTTCATTGCAAATTTCCCATCACATCTTTATTTATTTATTTATTATTTATTATTTTTTTTAAAGATGGGGTTTCACCACGATAGCCAGGCTGGTCTTGAACTCCTGACCTCAGGTGATCCACCTACCTCAGCCTCCCAAAGTGCTAGGATTACAGGTGTGAGCCACCGCGCCTGGCCTCCCCTCACATCTTGATATAGACAGGCCACGTATTTTTGTAAAGTTTCCTTAGAACACAGACATACCATCTGTTTAAACACTGTCTAGGGCTGTTTTCATGCTACTAAGGCATTGTCAAGTAGTTGCCACTGAGACTATAAGGCACATAAAGGCTAAAATATTACTAACTAGAGTTTCACAGAAAAAATCTGCCATCTTTACGCTAATCATTGATTCCTTTAAGCTATAATCTCATCTTTTTACCTTTTCATGCCAGAGAAAGTCTTCTGCATTGTTTTTCTAAAGTCCAGTCCAACAGAAAGAATGCCTTTAGGTGAAAACCTAAACCCAGGGCCAGGAAGGAGGCCTTGGTTTTGCCTCCAGTGAGGTCACCTCAGAGTGGAAGAGGGAGTGTTGTCACTTTGCCAGGTTCCCTTATACCCCCAAGGAATTCAAGACAATAATCAAGAAAGAAATTGCTCTATTTTTGGACTTAAGAAAACTAAAATATACTTTGCATTTCTTTAAATTAAAGATCATTGGTAGGTAACTGAGCTGGATATAATATTAACTATTTAAAAGTTACTGTTTGGCTCCTTACTTCTGAAAGCAAACTTTCCAGAGACATAGGATCCATCTTGTTGTAGACATTCCATAGATTCAAACTCACATCGTGCAACTGCAACAGAGGGCAAAAACAATGAAATAATTAAGTCAATATCATTGGAACAATCAGAATTATTTTTTGATGTTCACAAATGACTCTTTTGGTATAAACTAGTGTGAACAGAATAATAAACCAAAGTTTTATCAATTATATTAGCACCTATACATATTTTTTGTTTGCTTGTTTTTTTTTTTTTTTTTGAGACAGAGTTTCACTCTTGTTACCCAGGCTGGAGTGCAATGGCACGATCTCGGCTCACCGCAACCTCCGCCTCCTGGGTTCAGGCAATTCTCCTGCCTCAGCCTCCTGAGTAGCTGGGATTACAGGCACCCGCCACCATGCCCAGCTGAATTTTTGTATTTTTAGTAGAGACGGGGTTTCACCATGTTGATCAGGATGGTCTCGATCTCTTGACCTCATGATCCACCCGCCTCAGCCTCCCAAAGTGCTGGGATTACAGGCGTGAGCCACCGCGCCCGGCCAACACCTATACATATTAAAAAATGTTTTCCCCTAAAAGGAAACTATTTTTTCAGAACCTTTGGTACTAATTATCTTCAATAATGGGCACATATATATTTATACACACACACATGCACACATAGACTTGTATATTGTATATTTTTGCCATTGTTTTAAATAAAATTTGAATCAAAATCATCCATATCCATGGCTTTAAAAATCAAATGGCACAAAAGGCTTATAATAAAAAATGTTAACCCCAACTCCAACCTTTCACAAACCCCCACTAGTCTCACTCCTCATAAGCAAACACTTAGGTGCTCCCTTCAGTAACACATACAATAAAAGTGGAAGGATACAGAGAAGATTAACATGGCCCCTGAGCAAGGATGACATGCAAATTTGTGAAGTATTCCGCATTTTCAAAGAACATTTTTTTAAAAAAAGAAGCAACCAGTTAGAATTCATTTAACATTTTCTTTCTGGTACTTACCCCCAATTTTGATATAATATGCTTCTATCACTATCAATTTAGAAATTAAATATTGATTTCTGTCAAAGATGTAGTTCTTTTACACCCATTCCTATTCCCAAACTGCTTCTTTCTCAAACTCTTGGACTTGAGGAATCCACCCCCCTCGGTCTCCCAAAGTGTTGGGATTACAGGTGTGAGCCACCATGCCCAGCCCCCAAACTGTTTACACATACATATCCTAACATCATTTAATATCATAATATGACTTTCTTGGTTTATTAATACTTTTTAAACACAATGAATTGTTTTTGTTTCAGTATGCATCCACATCAGCATTTAGTGGTCCTAAACAGAAAGCAGAAAGATGCAGCAATTTGCCAGGTCAATCCTGTCAATTTTGGGGATCTGCTGTGCACACCAGGTTTGTTCTTAATCCCTGATGAGGTTTTTTTTTTTTTTTTTTTTTAAGACAAGTCTCTCTCTATCCCCCACAGGCTGGAATACAGTGGCGCAATCTCGGCTCACTGCAACCTCTGCCTCCTGGGTTCAGGCGATTCTTCTGCCTCAGCCTCCTGAGTAGTTGGTATTACAGGTGTGCACCACCAAACCCAGCTAATTTTTGTATTTTTAGTAGAGATGAGGTTTCACCATGTTGGTCAGGCTGGTCTCAAACTCCTGACCTCGTGATTCGCCCTCCTTGGCCTCCCAAAGTGCTGAGATTATAGACGTGAGCTACCACTCCCGGCCTGCCAAGGATTTTGAGAAGCAGCAGCAGCACCAAAACCAAGGTGTGCACTGGATTCAAGGTTATTTGTTCTAGTTGTTGAATTCCAAACTAGACCCCAATACATTGTAGCGACGACCAAATGAAAGCCCTGTTTAAAACTTCATTTTTTTTTTTTTTTGGTTAAAAACTTCAATTTTTAAAAGGAAAAGCAATTACAGAAAAGTAAAACAATTCAGAGGGATCATTTGTGCTTACAAGTGTCTTTATGTGGTCTTTCTCCAAGTTTAACCACCAAGGACTCTGACAGCTGGCGGGTATAAGTAACCTGGTGACTATTCTTTTTACCTTATCAAAACCTAAGCTAAAAACAATGCACAGCTGACAACAGCAGAAGATGGCAGGCCTAAGGGCCCAATATTCATTTCCAAGGCTGATGGAGAGTGAATAAGCACGGTTCTAAAACTAAACAAGGAAGGTCGGAGACTCTTTACAATCTTACCTGATGGCTCTGGCCAAAGCAAGGAAATATCGTGGAAGGTGCTGGGTGGTGAAAACAGGAACTTGAGGAGGGAATAAAAAGCAGCAGCCCTCAATAAAGGTGAAGGAGAGAAGATAGGGGGAAAGCCCTGAATTCCTCATCAAAGGCCAATCTCAGAGGGAAGCAAAGGGTTCCCAAGGAAAGGAGTGAAGGAGCTTGAGGACAGGATAATGGCTTAGAAGGGGCATCACTCTCCTGAGTAGCTGGGATTACAGGTGGGTACCACCACACCCAGCTAATTTTTGTATTTTTAGTAGAGACGGAGCTTTGCCATGTTGGCCAGGCTGGTCTCGAACTCCTGACCTCCGGTGATCCGCCTGCCTCAGCCTCCCAAAGTGCTGGAATTACAGGTGTGAGCCACCGAGCCTGGCCTTGATAGCTAGCATTTTACCCACAGTAGAACTTCTTTCAAAATGGGAGTCAATCTTCTCAAACCATGCCACTGCTTTATTAACTAAGTCTGCAGAATATTCTAAGTCCTTCGTTGACATTTCAACAATGTTCACAGCATCTTCACCAGGAGTAGATTCCATCTCAAGAAACAACTTTCTTTACTCATCCCTAAGAAGCAACTCCCCATCCATTAAAGTTTTTAACATGGGATTGCAGCAAGTCAGTCACATCTTCAGGCTCCATTTCTAATTCTGTTGCAGGAATCAGAAGACCAGAGAGACTAATGGGTACAACAGGAGGATTTTTTCTAGGTGCACTGGCTTAGTGGATTAGCATCTAAAAAACTGAGCCTCGAACAAAGACAGGGCTTGACTTTTATACATGAAGCACAGTGGCGTGAAAACAGACTTGCAGGTGCAGAACAAAGGCAGTTTATCAAGCAATGACAGGCACACAACTCAGGCTTACATATGTCCTCTGCTATGCAGCCTAGCTGGCCGTTATCTAAGTTGCTCAAGGAGCCTTGCACACGCTTATCTTGTGCCCTCCGCTATGGTACCTAGATGGCTGAAGTCCAGGCCTGCTTAGGTATTTCTCATGACTTTTGTTGTATTGCTTAGATGAGAAACAGAAACTCATAGTTATCAGTTACAGAGAACAAGAATCCATAAACTCATAAAACTTACAGAACAGAGTAAAGGGTAAGGGTTCAGGAAGTTTGCTTACACTAAAGGAAAGAAGAAAGATTTGTTTTTCTGTTCCCATCTCCTGCTTCAATTTTAGTTTTCTTGCTATTTCTACCAAATCTCCAGTGACTCCCTCCATTGAAATCTTGAACCCCTCAAAGTCATTCATGAGAGCTGGAATGCATTTCTTGCAAGCTCCTGTTAATGTTGATATTCTGACATCCTCCTATAAATCATGAATGCTCTTAATGTCATCTAGATTGGTGAATCTTTTCAAAAAGGCTTTCAGGTTTTTTTTGCCCAGATCCATCAGAAGAATCATTATCTATGGTAGCTATTGCTTAACAAAATGTATTTCTTAAATAATAAGCCTTAAAAGTTGAAATTACTCCTTGATCCATGGGCTGCAGAATGGATGTTGTGTTAGCAGGCATGAAAACAACATTAAACCTCTTGCACACCTCCATTAGAGCTTCATTGGGTGTCTAGGTACACTGTTAATGAGCAGTAATATTTGAAAGGAATCTTTATTTTCTGAGCAGGTCTCAACAGTGGGCTTAAAATATTCAGTAAGCCATGCTGTAAACAGATGTGCTATTAACCAGGCTTTGGTGATCCATTTAAAGAGCACAGAGTAGATTCAGCACAATCCCTAAGGGCCCTAGGATTTCCAGAATGGTAAATAAGCATTGGCTTCAAATTACAGTCACCAGCTGCATTGGCCCCCAAGAGAGTCAGGCTGTCCTCTAAAGCCAGGTACTTACTTCACCCTATTTATCAAAGTCCCAGAGGCTGGGCACTGTGGATCACAAATGTAATCCCAGCACTTTGGGAGGTCAAAGTGGGAAGATCACTTGAGCCTAGGAGTTTAAGACCAGCCCTGACAACACAGTGAGACCGCATTTCTACAAAAAATAAAAAAGTTCCAGGGCATGGTTGCTGACGCCTATAATCCCAGAACTTTGGGAGACTGAGGTGGGTGGATCACCTAAGGTTGGGAGTTTGAGACCAGCCTAACATGAAGAAACCTCATCTCTACTAAAAATACAAAAAAAAAAAAAAAAAAGTAGCCAGGCGTGGTGGTGCATGCCTGTAATCCCAGCTACTTGGGAGCTGAGGCAGGAGAACTGCTTGAACTCGGAAGGTAAAGGTTGCAGTGAGCTGAGATCGTGCCATTGCACTCCAGCCTGGGCAACAAGAGTGAAACTGTCTCAAAAATAAATAAATAATAAAAAGTTAGCTGCGCATGATGGTATACCCCTGCAGTCCCAGCTAGTTGGGAGGCTGAGGTGGGAGGATGGCTTGAGTTTGGGAGGTCAAGCCTGCAGTGAGCTGTGATCACACCACCGTACTCCAGCCTGGCCAACATGGTGAGACTGTCCCAAAAATAAAGAAAAAAAAAAAAAAGTCCTAGATGGCACCATCTTCTTACACAAGGCTGTTCTGTCAACACTGACAATCTGTTGTTTACTGTAGCCACCTTCATAAACTATCTTAAGTAGATCTTCTAAATAACTTGCTCAGCTTCTATACCAGTGCTTACTGCTTCATCTTGCACTTTTACGTTATAGAGACAGCTTTTTTCCTTAAACCTCATAAACTAACCTCTGCTAGCTTTAAACTTTTCTTCTGCAGCTTCCTCACAATTCTCAGCCTTCATATTAAAGAAAGTTAGGGCTTTGCTCTGGATTAGGCTTTGGTTTAAGGGAATGTTATGGTTGGTTTGGTCTTTTATCCAGACCACTCAAGCTTTCTCCGTATCAGCAATAAGGTTGTTTCACTTTCTTATAGTTTATGTTCACTGAAGTAATGCTTTCAGTTTCCTTCAAGAACTTTTCCTTTGCATTTACAACTTAGCTAACTGTTTGGTGCAAGAGGTCCAGCTTTCAGCTTGTCTTGGCTTTCAACATGCCTCCCTCACTAAGCTTAACCATTTCCAGCCTTTGATTTAGAATGAGAGAATTGTGACTATTCCTTTCACTTGAGCCACTGTCGGGTTATTAATTGGCCTAACTTCAATATTGTTGTGGTTAAGAATAGAGAAGTCAGAGGAGAAAGCAAAAAACGAGGGAACAGCCAGTCAGTCAAGCAGTCAGAACATACAAAACATTTAACAAGTTTATCATCTCATATGGGTGCAGTTGTGGTGCCCCAAAACAATTCCAGTGGTAACATCAAAGATCACTCATCATGGATTATCATAACAGATATAATAATAAAAAAGCTTGAAATATTATGAGAATTACCAAAATGTAACACAGAGACACAAAGTGAGTGCACGCTGTTGGAAAAGTGGAGTCAGCAGGCTTGCTGGATGCAGGCTGTCACAAACCTTCAATTTGTTTTAAAAAAAATTCAATATCTATAAAGTGCAACAAACCAAAGCACAATTTAACAAGATAGGCCCGTATGTGTTTTTCCAGTTTAACTGGTGCAAACAGGCACTGTTCTCAGCCCTGAATACATGTCAGGCACCATTCTCAATTCCTTTCAGATAGGTTTCTCTTGACCTTGAGTAGTTACCACACATGTGACTACACTGATCTACTCTGCTGAATACTGACTAGGAAAAGAGGGATCTCTACAGTCTTTGGGAGTTTTCTTT